AAACCAGGGTTAGTTTTGATAAGATCTGTTTGGTTGGTTTGTAAGTGCCACAGCGGTTAATGGTTTGTTCAGTTAATGCCAGTTAACCTCTGCGGCACCGTGACGGAGTGAAGCAAACGACACCTACACTCACTTCACAGCTGAGACGAGTGAATGGCAAGTTAAGAGCTTTTTCACGACGACAGTACAGGTGACAAGAGCTGGAACTAAAGCTCCCACCTATAACGCATGGTTTTGCACTCTCACCCTTGAATACCAGGCTTAAAGTAGATCCAAAGCATAAAAATTCAAGGTGTGGTTTCACCCCCATCTTCCAGCTGGCACTTCAAACCCTCCTTATATTCAGAAGCTGCTTATGACAACCAGCTTCAGGATGGTCAAAGTGATTTTAGAACAGTCTTAGGGTCTCGGTTAATTTTTAACATTAAAAAAAGCCTTTCAAAAAACCCTACAGATCTGGGAGGGCAACCCCACAATGGCCAGCAAAAAGGGCAGGCGCGTGCCTCGGCGAATTCCGACGCTGGTTACTTGTGACGCGTACTGCAACGGAGAGGCAGGCGACAAAGATCACAGGATTCAGCAATACCTGACTTGGAAGGGCCAACGTCCGCCTGTCCCAGCTGTTTTTTTCTTTTGGCTTCCAGTACTGGGTTTTCAAACTGTGTTTTCTGGTTGATGTGGCTGCAGACACACAGAGGCAGGTCAGGATTTCAGCAGAAAGTGTTCTGCCCACGTCACAGAAAGGCCAACCACAAGACATACATCCACAAATACTACTTCTGATTATCTCAGATTAGTGCTCTGGAGGGATGAACGATAAACTGTCATCATCAACACTGAAAGCACTTTTGTTAACACCAACAATTTGATTCCCTTCAAGGGCCAATACCATTTTCCTTCCTGCAATTATCAGACAGAGTAAACCTGCTTCCACTCTGCACGTTTTCAAAAGGCTGTAATAGACTGGAATTGAGGAAATCTGCTTTTTCTCTTGACATTACGTGTGGCTTCCACCTACCTGTAATGTTTACAAACTCAGCCATCACCTTTTACTAGTCTGTGCTGGAGTAGTACAGCAGAGTGAGAAAAACCAGTAAGTCTGAGCAGAATTTAAATACCTGCTCTGGCTTTGCAAAGTCGAACCGTGCTGGCTCAATCTCTGCAGCTAACGTTTCAACTTCTCCGTGGCTCGAGAGACTTCACTTACTCTGGCCTGAAGGGGACTCAGACAGCCCTTGCAGCGATTCAGTAGTTGCCTACTTGGCTCTTTGGAGAGAGCCAGGAGATGTAAGTTCTCTTGCTCTTTCACGCTTACCAGGTGCCACCCTTGAATCAAGCCACCCCGTCTTTGTTAAAGCTGTGGAAGTTAGTTACATCAGCTAATTCCCACTGATAAATTACTTCAGTTGCTACTTGCCTTCCCATCCCAAAAGAAAAGCACTCCAGCAGCGTCACACCACGGACCATCCCCCGTGCCCGTGTGTCCCTCGCCTTGGAGCTGGAGACCTCTAATCCCTGCACCGCCACCTGTACATCCTACACAGCAAGAGCTTGGTGATTTTCTGCTCAATCCATAACAATGTCATTAATAATTAGCACTTACTCAACATAGTATGTTCCATATTGAGGGTCTTCTATTTTTTCCCACCCATATGGAAGTTCTGCAATCAAAACGAACAAAATTCTCCATTACAGTGGAAAACAAATGGCAAATACCAGGATTCTTAGGACAGATTAGACTCATGAAAAACAGGAGGCAAATACAGGTCCTTTTTACTTCATGTGTTTGAGGCTGGTCCTTCTGACCAAAGGATTTCAGCCTGTCCCAGGGCATCTGAAGCCCTATAACTCTCACTCTGTTCCACTAGATGAAGAGACTTGGATTCAACAAAATCACACCACTTCATACAATAAACTTAAAGGCAAGGTACAGACTAACCTATTTAGATCCTCTGAAGGGGAAGAAAAATACATTACTTAAAATGAACCCAATTATAAATTATGAATGTGATTTGATACTTGTTGACTTTTTAAACTAGACGGTATGAGTACAGTCGCACTGCTTCTGCCACTAACACACCCAAAAAGAGCCCTAAACGTCTCGCAGTCTTGCATCCCGAGCTTGTCCACCATGATCTCTGTTCCTCTTGTGCTTCCTGTTTAAGACCACCTGCCAGGGGCAATGCCACCATTCTTCATTCCCTCAGTAACATCAGGATATTTCATTTTCAGTCAGCCCAAGACACCTTAGTCAGCTACAATAGCCGCATGTGCGGAGCAAGAAGAGAGCCCCGCAGTGGCTGATACGGGGACACCCCAACACCAGCCAGCATGTGTTTCGGCCTGGTCGTGCCGAGCGCAGGCGGCCCGGCCTGCCAGGACGACGGCACACAGCCCTGTGTGGCCTGGGATCAGGCTGCCTCGGACACCCCCGCAGCGGGCTCTACCCCAAGAACCAGCCCTTCGGCACAGGGACTGCAAGTCACCTGTGGAAGCTCCTTTTTAGGGCAGATTCGGGACCCTGTAAGAGGGTGCCCCAGCAGATGAGTGCTGGCTGAGGCGATAAGCCGTTGGCACCAAGGTGCAGCCATTCCAGCACTGCTGATCCACTTTTGTTGACCACGGACATACAAATGTTAGAGTAACGGATACAGACAGGTAGCCAGACGTCTGCGGGATAAACCGCCACGTAATCTTGTTTGAGGCTGCCCCAAGTTTGATGGCAACAGGAATTTTTCGAGCGCATGACAGCGTGTTACCAATTATTACCAATTATTACCACCAGCATCGCACCGTGGGGTTTGACAAAAGACGCGGCGGGTCTGTTCATTTACATGCTGTTTGTCTGATATCCTGCCTCTCTGTTTAAAGTGCTCCTTCTACCCCGTGGTGAGCTGCACATATGTTTAATAAGCGGCAGCGTGCGGCCACTGCTCCAGCTGGCTCCACCACGAATTCATGAGTGTTAGGCTGTGCCGTTTAGGAAAACGACAGGCTATTGGAGAGTGCCTCGGCTTTCGTCACATGGCAGGCATTTGCCAAAGACAGAGCTATCTGGTACTCCTGCTAGCCGACTAAACGGCACGGCGGTGTAGGAAATGGCAATGGGAGTTGTCTGTAGGCCAGTCATGAACCTGACCTTTAAATCTTGAGGCAATAGCATGAAGAGTTGAAGGGAGTCAGATTGTTCCCCCTACTTATGCACTCAAATATTGTAATGCGTCACAGGCGGTCGGTGCCATTAGCAAGAGGTGTTCCTCTCTACCTTCTTCATTACTCCTATATTCTCACACTCACGGACCTTTTCCTCCTGCCATATTCCATCCGCACAACAATTTCCAGTGAGACTGTCACCAATAGCCGCAGCTTTCTCCCTGGCGATGGGAGTCACTGGAACAAGGCATCTCATTCTCGGCTCAGGAATGCGATAAACCCACGATTCAGTCAGATTCTACTACTCCAGGGAAAACACACCGTGGACTTTTCCATGTGTAAACTCCTACTGGCACCACTCTGCCTGCTCCAGTCACGTGAATCAGGAATAGCAGATCGCATCCAGATGGGACAAACTCAGACATCTGTCATTCACAGGTGACAATGAATTCTCAACATCTCACCTCCATCCTCACAATCCTCAGGAGCTTTGGCTTTCTTACAGAGCCGCGGATCAAGCCACGTGGTGGTCTTGGTGTTATGGCTGTGGAGCAGAGCACAGCCCGTTAGAGAATTCCTTCAGACTGAAGAAGCTTTGCTTTGCTTTAACTACTAAATATTTACTACACTGTGCAAGCTGCAGCCATCAGGTAACGTAACCTTTCTTTGTGCCTCAGTCACATCCTCAAATGCTTTTAAAAAGGCAGCAATGATGCTCAGAGGCACGAGCACAGCAGAGACTCTCCGGGACAGATGTGAAATGTTAGAGGTACAAACACTCTCCCCTATCCCCAGCAGCTCATGTGGGAATATCAGCTCTTTCTACCTGAAAGGAAAACACATTTTTAGCCTCTTCTTATGCTTGACTCTCAGTGAGGTTTTTGTTTCCTTCAGAAATTAACAGATGAGGCTGTTTCACATGTGCACTTATGAGCTGCTTCCCTATCCTGGGCTTTAATCTGTGCTGTTTGTAGTTTTAAGCTGCCATTCCCAGCCAAGGAACACAAGCAGCAAAGAAAGAATAAACAAGCTCTCGGATTTCAGGGAAATTTGACACAGTGAAGGTTTCCATGATGTTACACCTCACGGAGCCATACCCACCCAGCTTTGTGTTTTGCGAGATACAAAACTCACATTACAAACACACGGACTCTGCACATGGAGCCACGAGGCTTTCCGGCACAATGGCTACCAGTGAGGAATGAAACAGAGAATATACTGTGTACAGAAACAGAGGCAGTAAGAGCAGCAGAAGAGGTGTAAGAGCAGCAGGCAGCTTTCCAGCCTGCAGCTCACCAGCACTACCCCCCTCCGAAGGGCACAGCAGCCCCGCCGCAGCGTCGGTCTACTCACTCGATGAAGTAGATCATGCCAGTGTCGGTGTAGGCCATCTCCCAGTTCTTGGGCAGCGGCTCCAGGGTTTCATCCCTTCAGAGGCAGTAAGAGCAGCAGAAGAGGTGTAAGAGCAGCAGGCAGCTTTCCAGCCTGCAGCTCACCAGCACTACCCCCCTCCGAAGGGCACAGCAGCCCCGCCGCAGCGTCGGTCTACTCACTCGATGAAGTAGATCATGCCAGTGTCGGTGTAGGCCATCTCCCAGTTCTTGGGCAGCGGCTCCAGGGTTTCATCCCTTGACAAGTAGTTTCTGAAGTCCATGGCGCTGCTTGTCTGGTTGTAGCTGGGAACAGGTTTCATCCAGTCAGGAGAATCTGAATGTTTTTCTTTGTTTTCTGCAGTTGTTCAGGGAAAGTGTTACTATTTGTCAGATGTTTATGTTGTTTCTCAAAAAGAACCACCCTCTTAATCTGGCTGCGAGTGGATGTCAAACACGTCCCTGTATGTGATGTGCATTTTTCCACTTTTTTTTTCAGCTGTGAACTTTGAAAAGCTGACATGAAAACACTGAACTCTGCTCTTCCCCTGCCAAGCAGAATTAACCTCGTATTATGTGTCTGAGCCTACGCTGAAAAATCAGCGCTGGCAGAAATCCAAGTTGACTACACTCGGCTGCCGTTCCCACACAGAGAGCGGTGTTTGTAACACCATCGCCCCCCCAAACCCTCATCTTCCTCAATGCACCAGAACGAAGCGAGAGAAGACCCAAACTGCCAATAAACCAAACACCACCCTCCTGCAAGCCGTAAGAAATGGCTCCCAAAAATCCCTGCGGCACACTTCGAATGCAAACCTCCACCCGTGAGCACCGAGCTCAGGCCCAGTGTCGCCCATCACGCAGCGATGTCCGTGCCCTTGCCCCGACCACCAGCCCTGGCCACCAGGCCGCGGTGCTGCCAGCCCCGAAGGCTACAAGGTTAGGTCCGATCTGGCCTACCGAAGCCTGTCTTCAACACGCAAAGGGTCATCTGCAAATGCGACGTGACTGTTTCTCTCCACCATCAGATCTTCCCCCTCGAGATGAGTAACCATGACAGCGAAAGGCAAAGGGCATCCTGCCAGGCGTTGCAACGCCCCGCTGGATACTGGTCCAGCCTCAGCGCTCTCTGCGTTAGTTCTCCCCACAAACACCCCTTTTGGCAGTTTCAGGTTGTGTGACGGTTTCCCTTTACCTAACTCATCTGAAAAGTTTGCAGTTTGACCTAGTGTTGCCCCTTAAACCAACCGTTCCGCTAAAATCTCCTGCACACAAACTCCGTAATCTCCAAACCGAACAGTAACATGTGCAGGGTATGAATTACACCCTGCAGAGGATTCCGCTCTTGAGGAGCGGGTACGTTTTTCCTTCCTCCTCATGCATCTGGCCGATAGCCAGCCCTACGTGCTCTCTGCTGAGCAGTGCGCTGTATGATGCAATTGCACATCTGGCTGGGAGAACAGCTGTTTCTTTTTAAAAGATAATTTCAAAACCGAGTGAGAACACCAGTCTGAACAGAAAACTGCCTCCAAACCTCACCAACACGAAGGGAGCGGCTCAAGCAAGCATGAACATTATTTGTAAACTATTCGTCCACTCGTACAACACTTCAGGGAATTTCTCCCCTTGTCAACTGACCTATCCCTCCGCTGCCGTTAACTGCTTCCTTTTCCTCCTCCTCCTCCTCTTCGGGCAGGGAACTCTCCATCTTTTGCATTTTGCTGACGGACGTGGTTCTTTTCCGCTGTGATTCGGTATCAAAATCATTGTCAAAAAGAACTTGATCCACCGGATCAGGCTGAAAGGGGCTGGGCTCCGCTGGAGGCTTCGGGGTACCGTAAAAATTACCTGGCAATGAGAAACGAAGGTCACTAACATGCCGACACTCACTGGTGGGGAGCGTTTTACCGCCCGCGTAATGCGCTGGTGAAGGACCGGGACTGTAACTTCTGTAAGAAGACACCAGCGCTATCAAAAGTCCATCAGCAGCCAAAACCTGTCTATGTCTATGCTGTCTTTCTGCCAGGGATGCTACTTGACACCAGAAACCAAGAGGTTTCATTCAACACTTCTACCCTGCCACAGGGTTTCAAAGGGGAAGATGGATTTGTTACTTTGCCTGGAATTCGCTCATGCTCCGTAGAGACTTGGGGAACCGTCTGAGAGAAACAGAAGAATGAAAATCAATTGTTCTTACACAGTTTAACTGACCAACAGCGTTAATATGCAGCACCAGAAACACACTCCAGTCAAAAAGCAAATTATTTTGTGCAGAAAAATAAAGTATTTACCTAAAATCAGTTACAAATAATTGTTTTTAAAACTACAGTCCTGCAATTTGCTACTGACAAAACACCTGTTTTTTTTAAACAAAGCTGTTCATGTGGCTTCATCTAAAAATCAGTTGTACTTGAGAAAAACAAACAGATCTTCACTTCAATATTTTCATCTAAACCACAAAGACTAGGAATTATCTGTTATTTTCTGGAAAAGAATTCCCGCAACTGACCTCTCTCCTGACCACTCATGTGATTTTGATTAGGGAATCAAGCACACAGCAAGAGAGCTTCCCAGAATTCCTG